ACCTCAGTCTTCCAAATAGCTGGAATTACAGGCACGCATCACCACATCCAGCTAACTTTTTGATTTATTGTAGAGACGAGGTCTCACCATGTTGCCCAGGCTGGTCTCGAACCCCTGGGCTCAGGCAATCCTCTTGCCTCAGCCTCCCAAAGTACTGGGCTTACAGATGTGAGCTACCATGCCTGGTTAGAAAATTTTTTAAAGATAAAATACTTCATTATTTCACACTAATGCTTCTAATTCAAATTCAGGATTACAGAATTTTTTACTTATGTTCTTCTGTATTACATCTCTATTTCTTTTCTTTTCCACCAAGAACCTTAGTTCTCAAGCACCAAGGGATAAAGCAGAATATCCTATATTTATTCATATATTTTAGACCATTTTATATTCATAATAACCTCATAACAATACTAATACTAGTGTTCAGTAATATAACTGCTGAGAAACTTGTTTAATTTGCATAACTCATTTGCTTTGTATGTGTTTAACTACATCTCTAAAATATCATTTTAAAATTACAGCCCAGTATCTTCCTCCTTGGTTGAATTCCCTGTTTCCAAGATCCAGTATCTTCTTCCTTGATTTACTCTATCATTTTGGTGTACACATTCTCTAAATAGCTTTGTGAGTAGGGATGTGTAAAAGGTTAGTTTTTTAGTGCTCACATTTCAAAAAAATTGTCTACCCTCAAATTTGGATAATCTTATTAGGGAATAGAATTCTAGGATAAAAATTTTTACCAGCTGGGCTTGGTGGCTCAGCCTGTAATCCCGCGCCTTTGGGGACTGAGGTGAGTGGATTGCCTGAGCCCGCGGGTTCGAGACCCGCCTGGGCAGCGAGACCTCATCTCTACAATAAATCAAAAAATCAGCCGGGCGTGGTAGCGCATGCCTGTAATTCCAGCTACTCGGAAGGCTGAGGGGGAAGGATCGCCGGAGCCCAGCAGGTTGAGGCTGCGGTGGCCAGGAGCGGCCACTGCACTCCAGTCTGGGCGACAGAGTGAGACTCCAATTCAAAAAAAAAAAAAATTTTTACCAAAAAATGTTAAAGCATTTTTCTGTTGTCTTTTAGTTTCCAAGGTTTCTGTTGAGAAATTCAATGCCAGGGTCCGGAAATTTCAAAATAATGTCCAGTAATATGAGTTTTCTTTTTATTCATTGACTTGGCTTTTCAAAATGAAGCTGCCCTTAAGCTTTGGAAAATTCTCTATTATTTCTCTGATAATTTCCTAGCTTCTCTCTTCTTTTTCTGCAACTCGTTAACTCAATATGAGATTGTTTTTAGTAATCTTTTAATTTTATTTTCTCTCCTAATGCCTATTTATTTGCTCCCACTTCATTTTCCAGATTTCCTTTATGTTATCTTCTGTTGAATTTTTTGTTTTGGCCAAAATATGTTTAATTTTCTAAGAGCTCTTCCCTATATGCTTATTTAAATAGAATTCAGTTCTTTTTTCACAGACGTAATACATTCACTTATCTCCCTGAGTTACAGTTTTAAGTTTTATTTTGTTCCCTAGATGTCTTCTGCTGCCTTCTACAAGTGTTTTCCCCTAGTATTTTGTTGTTGTTTTTGAGTAGAAAGTTGACTCTGTCTTGTTGGACATTTTCCTCAAATGTCTGGTGATCCTTGACCATTTGTTCATAATTAAAAGCAAGACAATAAAAAGCTTGAAGGAAGCTGTCTGTGTATGAATGAGGTTTATCAACTACCAAGCTTTACCACAGATGATAAAGTGACAAGCTGGCTTTTCTCTGGAGATATTTCAAATAATTTTCCAAACTTCTGCCAGGAAGTGGTGTATGTGTGGCTGCTAGTGTTCTTAGAACACAGCTGGAAAGTACCACCATTTAGCATGCAGAATTTCACTTCATTCCCTTTTTTCAACTTAGGCTTCAACTTAGGTCTCACTATTGCCTTCCACTAAGCCTAACAGTCCAGACTGATTCTACTGCCCCCTTATCTGTTCAGTTTCCCGGAGAAAAAGCCTCCGATACTCTGCTGTGGAAAGGTCACCAGCTGGTGGTAAAAAGATCTTGGGATCTAATTGTTCCATAGGAGTCTTTTTCTTTCTTCCCGCCTTACCTGGCACCTAGTATATTTAAGTTTTGAGCTTTCTGGAGTTCTTCAGGGACACTCAGCCAGTATAACCCTTCTTTGGGAACCTGGGTTATGGTTCCTTAACTCTGAGTCAGTGACCACTTCTCTATCAGCTTTTCTTCCAAAAATCTTCTGACATCTCTATATCACTGTTTCTTCTCCTATTCACTTTGACTTCATGGATTAATATCTTTTTATTTCCTTATTTATAATAGTTTAAGCAAGATTTAGAAAGCACCAATAGAGATTACTCCATTACTTCAATCTGCCATATTTAACCAAATGTCTCAAATTAGTCCTGTTTAAATGACTTGTCTTTTTCTCCTTCAGATCATACATTCCTTAGGAAAAGAAACCTTGTTTCATCTCTGCATCTCTAGTGTACTGAATATATGCTTACCTACGCTTAAATGATAAATTAACTATAACAGTAATGTATGGTAGAGAAAGCATGGAAGGAACATGAGATTTTAAATAAGGCAGTTCCAAAACTTTTAAGCTGTACCAAGACAGGTACAGCTCAGAGGCTCAAGAGGCAGATACTTGAATGTGTATAATAATCCATCACATGGTGCAAATTAAATGAGATAATGTAATATTTTTCTAACTGAAATTTGAACTTATTTAAAAACTGACAAAATCAATTTACTAGGTTGTGAGCAGATTTTTAAATGAAATAGATTAGAAAGTAACAAAAATTCACATAAAAGATAAACATTGCTTTTACAAACTTGTTTCACTTGTGTGTACTGGGTACTGGGTTGTGATGTAAGATACACTTATTTCTGTAGGTCACAGAATTAGTACACATAAAAGTATTACAAAAATTAAGTACCAAATTATATGTCCTGACCTCAAGGGCACAGAATTTCAAAGGTGATCAGTATAAATTAGAGTAATCTAAGGAATTTTAAGAAAATATGGGACTAGTTTTTGAAAATGGATAAAATTTAAGTTGATGAAAAAAGGGCATATCAACAGGCAGGCAGCACAAGCAAAAGGTCTGGCCTGCGGTCAGCCAGATGGAAGTTGCGAACTTAGTTGTGTTAAAACATGTTCACGGCCGGGCACGGCCGGCTCACACCTATAATCTCAGCACTTTGGGAGGCCAAGGTGAGAGGAATGCCTGAGCCCACAGGTTCGAGACCAGCCTGGACAATTTGGTGAGACCTCATCTCTACAATAAATCAAAAAAATTAGCCGGCCATGGTGGACCGTGCCTGTAGTTCTAGCTACTTGGAATGCTGAGGCAGAAGATCGCCTGAGCCCAGTAGGCCGAGGCTGCGGTGGCCGTCAGCATGCCATTGCACTCCAGTCTGGGCGACAGAGTGAGACTCCAATCCAAAATACAAAAAACATGTTGACATCCACCATAGGAATTCTAACACATTTTCTACACTGAAGAACAAACCCTCATTAAGAGAATTTCAGACTGTCTGGAGAATTCAGCTGTTCTGATTAAGAAACATAACAGAGGAACCCAACCAGTTGAGACCTATCAATGGAACTTGAAAGTATTACCTATTGGGCTTCTCCCTCTTCATCAAACCCTCCCCCCCCCACACACACGCAACCCCCACACACACCAAGGTCCAGAAGACCAGACCCACAGGGAAGCACATTGGCCTAATAAGCACATCAATAATGGCACTCTCCATACTCTCCCACCTCTACCTCCCAACTTGAGGAAAAAGAAATACATCTACTTCCCCAAAGTTTAGAAAACTACACTTTTCATACAGCCCATAATCAGACACTCAACAGCCAATGAAAGATCTGATAGCACTAATATCATTCTTAAAAAGGTCTTAGTATCCTCCTATGTTAGAAATCCCCTCTCCTGTGAAACAATCGGGTAAGCCCAAACTTCAGTTTTAAAAGGTATTGGTCAACTTTTCTATTTACATGTTTCCATTGAATTGTGTCCTTTCAGCCCACTGGCTGAAATAGAACTCTCCCTTGGAACTCTTTGACAAAGCACACCCACTGAACGTTGTTCAGCAAACATGCATTGAGGTTCTTCAGGTACCAGAGACTTTCAGGGTAAGAGGGTACACCAGGGACTAAGACCTGGCACCCAACCACCGCGTAACCCAGCAAGTACTAGGGTAGAGGTGCATACAGTACAAGGCTTTAGGGGAAAGTCTGGAGGATTTAGAGGCTTCCCTAAGAAAAGATCTGAGCTGAAACCTACAGAACGCAAAAAAAATTAGCCAGGTGAAGAGAAAGGGTACAAGCAGCGACAGTAGTAACGACAGCAAATTAACAGAGGCCTAAAACAACCTTCTGGGGAGAAGCTGCACGCAGTGTGGCATTGCTAGGGCACGGGGGTGGTGAGGGTGTCAGGACAAAAGACCGCAGGAGCCTGGGGCCGCCCGAGTGCGGAGCAGGCACTTGGACAGGAAGCCTCTGCCACCTGCGCCCAGACGCTGAGCATCGCGAGTGTCCCTCCTGGCCATCCACGCGCAGGGCCGCTCTAAGGGTCCCTACGGGGAGTGTTCCTGGGAGGGCAGCGCTGGTGACAGTCACGACTCGCTTCCCGTCGGGTGGGCGACGCCACACCTACCCTGGGACTCCACTCAGAATCTAGGGGCGAGAACCGTGGGCTTATGTCCGGGGGCCTGCTTCACAAACTCCGACCGGGGAGGAAAGGGAAGGAGGGAGGCGACGAAATGGCCGCGGCAACGAGCCCGAGACACGACGACCCCCAGATGACAGCCACCCGAATGGCCACTCGGACGCCCCTCGCGCCTTGAAGCCGGCGCCCTCGGGGGCAGGAAGGACAGAGGAGCGGCGCCGACCCGGGCCGCGATTCCCGGTCACCTCGGGGGTCGCCCGCCTCGCAGACACAGAGCGGGGCAGAGGGCCCCCCTCCGCGGGTCCGCTGCTCTGGTTACCTTGGTCATGCCAACCCCCACCACGAACACCCGGCGCAGGGAAGGAGACATGGTTCGGCCGGTGCTGGGCTGAGGCGCGCGCCGCGGACGACTGCCGGGACTGACAGAGGCCGGGGCGGCACGGGGGCTCCCTCAGGGCCGGGGCGGGGCCAGAGGCGACGCGGGGCGGGGATGGGAGGCGGCCAGGGCGCATGCGCGTGCGCGGGGCGCAGGCGGCGCGCGGCTTTCTGGGAACCAGGAAAGTTGGGGAGTTCTTAGCCGGAGAAGCCCTAGACCAGAGTTCACGGACGTGTGCTCCAGACCTAGTCCGGCTCAGCCGTTGAAAAAAAGTTTTAGGACTCAGTGCCAGCCAGTTCCTGTCTCAGAGCCCGTGATGGTTAGATTCTTTACCATGAGGCATTAGACCTGGAGTAGGGCCAGAAACCGGACTCAACGAAAGGGTAGCCTGAGGAAATCCTTTGGAGCGTTGTGTTGGAATTGTTCTGTGTCTTGTTAGTTACAAGAGTCAGTGCATGTGTGGACACTCATAGGACTGGAACATTTGTATACCTAACCTGAATCGTACCCAACATCTTTAAAATTAAAAATTGTAAGTAAATAAAATAAAACTCATAGGACTGTACGTCAATAAAGGGTGGGGCGGGGCAGGATTTTATAAATCAAAAACCAACGTCTAGTCAGCAGCCGTGTGACCGTCTTTTTTAACCTTATAAACGAAAGGTACCTAAAAATAAATTTGGAGGAAAGAAACTTTATTCCAGTCAGCAGTTTGCAAACGGGAGATAACCTTCCTTGTAAATGGAGGCTGTGTTCCAGAGAATGCAGGAAAAGTTTGGTTTTATAGCAAGAGTTCCTTCCCAGGTTCTCAATCAAGTCTGTTTATGGAAATAATGGAGTCAAACTTACTTAGTTCTGATTGGTCGATACAGCTGAGCCCTGATTGGCTGAGGTAGGTGAGCTCTGATTGGCTGGTTCAGGTGAGTTCCGAAGGTCCCAAAGCTAAAAAGGTGTGGGTTTTCGCGGCATTCTGAATAACTGTTTAACCTCTAGTCACCAAGTGGTCACTTGGTGGCTATCCATCATTTAGAATTGGCTCCTTCAGGTTCACTTTTGTTCACAACCTGAAACTATCTCCTGTTGTTTTGTGAGGATTAAACCAGGTAGCAGAAACAAAGCGTAAAAGGAGAGAGAGTGTGTGTGTGTGTGTGTGTGTGTGTGTGTGTGTGTGTTCACAGTTAGTTAAGCAAGAGGCCATTGTGTGTGTGTGTGTGTGTGTGTTTGTGCATGCATGCACATTGTAAAACTTCTGCGGCATCTTCCAGCTGTAAGGATCTGTGATAAAAGCCCTTCATAGATCTCCATAGCAAAAATCATCAAGTTGCTGTGTTACAACCTGATCCAACAATTAGCAGCTTCCCTCACAATCAAAATCCAGAGGCAGAAAGCTGAGAGAAGAGTTTTATTCTGATACCATGGGATTAGGGAACTGGCTATGTATCCACAAAAACCTGTTCATTTTCATCAAGTATTTATAATAAAACATACAGTTTCTTATCTTTTTCCCACTACTGATTAATAATAACTATGTCTTATACTATGACCATTACTCAGTTTCTTTCTTTTTTTTTTCTTTTTGAGTTGGAGTCTCACTCGGTCGCCCAGACTGGAGTGCAGTGGCCGCTCCCGGCCACCACAGCGTCGACCTGCTGGGCTCCGGCGATCCTTCCGCCTCAGCCTTTCAAGTAGCCGGAATTACAGGCATGCGCTACCACGCCTGGCTGGTTTTTTGATTTATTGTAGAGATGAGGTCTCGCTGCCCAGGCGAGTCTCGAACCCGCGGGCTCAAGCAATCTACTCACCTCGGCCTCCTAAAGGCGCGGGATTACAGGCTGAGCCACTGAGCCCGGCTAAAATTGTTTTCTTTATCTCCTTTTTAGATAGTTCATTGTTAGTGTATAGAAATTAAAATAGTTTTTGTGTATGACTTTGCTAAATTCATTTAATAGGATTCTTATGGAATCCTAACAGTTTTCTTATGGAAGCTTTAGAATTTTCTACATACAAGAATATATAATCTGCAAACAGAATATTATTTCTTCCTTTCTGAATGGGTGCCTTTTTTATTCTTTTCTTTTTCTTGCCTAGTGGCTTCAGTGACAACTTCTAGTACAATAGTGAATAGAAGTGATGAAAATATATTTGAAAATATATGAATAATAAATGAAAATATTCTTGCTCTGTTCCTAACCTTAGACAAAAATTTTTCAGTCTTTTATCCTTGAGCATGATAGTCACTGTAGGTTTTTCATATGTGTTTTTTATGTTGAGATAGTTTTCTTCTATTCTTAGGTTGTTGAGTGTGTTTATCATGCAGGGATGTTGAATTTTATAAAATGCCATTTCTGCATCATTTGAGATGATTATGTGAGCTTCTTCCCCTCTTCATTCCATTAATGTTGCATATTATAGTGATCAGTTTTCCTATGTTGAACCATTTTTGTATTCCAGAAATAAGTCCCACTTGGTCATGGTATATGATCCTTTTTATATGCTGCTGCCGGGCATGGTGGCTCATACCTGTAATACCAGCACTTTGGGAGGCAGAGGAGAGAGGACTGCCTAAGCGCAGCAGTTCGAAACCAGCCTGGGCAACTTGGAGAGACCTCATCTCTACAATAAATCAAAAAATTAGCGTGGCATGGTGGCACGCACCTATCATTCCAGCTACTTGGAAGGCTGAGGTGAAAGGATCACCTGAGTCCAGCAGGTTGAGGCTGTGGTAGCCATGAGCATGGCACTGCACTCCAGCCTAGGTGACAGAGTGAGACTCCAACTCAAAAAAAAAAAAAATGCTGCTAAATGTGGTTTGCTAACTTTATTTTTTTTTTAGTTGGAGTCTCACTCTTTTGCCCAGACTGGAGAGCCAGTGGCATGCTCACGGCCACCACAGTCAGCCTCGACCTGCTGGGCTCAGGCGATCCTTCCACCTCAGCCTTCCATGTAGCCAGAACTACAGGCGTATGCTACCATACCCAGCTTATTTTTTGATATATTGTAGAGACCAGGTCTCACCAAGTTGCCCAAGCAGGTCTCAAACCCCTGAGCAGGTCTCAAACCCCTGAGTTTCTCCTGCCTCGGCCTCCCAAAGTGCTGGGATTACAGGCTTGAGCCATCACACCTGGCCAAGGTTTGCTAATATTTTGTTGAGGATTTTTGCATCAATGTCCATAAGGGATATTGGTCTATAGTTTTCTTGTACTGTCTTTGGTATTAGGGTAATGCTCGCTTCATAGGATAAGTTAGGAAGTTTTCTCTCCTATACAAGTTTTCAAAAAAGTTTAGAAGGATTAGTGCCTCAGCCTGTAATCCCAGCACTTTGGGAGGCCAAGGCAAGTGAATTGCCTGAGCCCGCAGGTTCTAGACCAGCCTGAGCAAGTTGGCGAGAGCTTGTCTCTACAATTTAAAAAAAAAAGAGCCAGGCATGATAGACAGGTAGGCGCACCTGTAGTTCCAGTTACTCGGAAGGCTGAGGCAGAAGGAACGCCGGAGCCCAGCAGGTCGATGCTGGGATGGCCATGAGTTTGCTACTGCACTCCAGCGGGGGCAACAGTGAGACTCCAATTCAAATAAAAAAAAGTATTAGTGATAGTTGTTTAAATGTTGGCTAATGAAGCCATCTGGTTCAAAAATTTTCTTTGTTGGGAAATGTTTGAGTACCGATTCCATCTCCTTACAAGTTATGGGCTTATTTAGATTTTCTATTATTTTGTAATTTCTTTTCGGTAGGTTTTGTGTTTTGAGGAATTTGACTATTTTATTTATGCTAAACAATTTGTTGGCATACAATTGTTCATAGTACATGCTTATAATCCTTTTTATTTCTGTACAATTGGTAGTAATTTTTCCAATTTTATTTATAATTTTAGTAATATGCATTTTCTCTCTTTTTTCTAAGCCCATTTAGCCAAAAGTTTCTTGATTTTGCTGATCCTTTCAAAGAAACAACTTTTGGTTTGACTGATTTTTGTCTATTGTTTTTCTGTTCTCTATTTCATTGATCTCTGATCTAAGCTTTGCTATTTCCTTTTTTTGCTAGTTTTGGGTTTGGTTTGTTCTTTGTCTATTTTCTTTTGTTTTTTTTTTTTGAGTTGGAGTCTCACTCTGTCGCCCAGACTGGAGTGCAGTGGCCGCTCCCGGCCACCGCAGCCTCGACCTGCTGGGCTCCAGTGATCCTTCCGCCTCAGCCTTCCAAGTAGCTGGAATTACAGGCATGCGCTACCACGCCCGGCTGACTTTTTTTTTTTTTTGACTTATTGTAGAGATGAGGTCTCACTGCCCAGGCGGGTCTCGAACCCGCGGGCTCAGGCAATCCACTCACCTCAGCCTCCCAAAGATGCAGGTTTACAGGCTTAGCCACCGAGCCCGGCTAAGACATCCCATTTTTAAATTGAGGTCTCAGAGACTTAGTTTTCTTCAGAGAGCCTATTCATCTGGCTCTATGGGCCCTGTGGAGTATGCTCATACTTTGTGGGATACACTCACATTTCCAGAATATGCTCAAGCTTTGTAGGATATGCTCATGTTTCAGGGTTTGTAGGGATGTTCCCTCTAAAAGCACTGAAAGAGGTGACTTCATCAGTTCAGTGCAATGGGTAACCCATGTTCTAAGGTGGTCTCTGATCACCCACCTTTCAGTATTACAGTGGCCTTCATGTTAGACAATGGGGAAAATTCCTGCACCTATTTAAGACTTTGGATAGCATTAACCCAGGAAAGTTCAAAAGCATGCCAAGATATTTTCCAGGACTCCTTCTGGCTACATATTATGACTGGCTACATATGTGCATTCTTGTGCACATTGTTAGACTAGTAGGCAAATTACATCAAGGAAAATTCAAAGCTCAAATGGTCAATGTACAAATATAGAGCTAAAACATGGAGTCTTCTAAGTTCTCTATTCTCTGTAGTTTTCCCCCTTTCTTTCTTTCTTTCTTTTTTTTTTTGAGTCAGATTCTCACTCCATTACCCAGGCTGGAGTGCGGAAGCATGCTCACGGCCATCCCAGCATCAACCTGCTGGACTTAGGTGATCCTTCTGCCTC